AAAGAGCAGAACTCTAAAAGTTAACTTAAACTTAAACATACGAGCAACTTCTAAAGGAATCCGTAAGCCCTGACCTTAAACCCAAACATACAAGCAACTTCCAAAGGAAGCCGTAAGCCCGACTTTAAACCCAAATATATGGGCAACTCCCAAGTATAGCCGTAAGCCTCAATCCAAACCAAACTATTATAACACTAAAACCTACATATAACCACTTCAGTTTACTCAGGATCTTTCAGAGGAGATAATCCATGACAGCTAATCAGATTCTCTGGACACTACAATCAATGATTGTTAGTGTTGGTAGACTGAAACCTATGATATTCACGGGATGATAGAACCATAGGATTTTTTATCGGGTGTACCTTCACCTCCCACAACCAAGATTAAAACACTTGTATATCTAAAAGTTAATTCATCCTTAATTAAGAGTTCTCTTTTACGCGATAGGAGGGATAATTAACTATGAGTGCCTGTGCACAAAGGAAGTAGAAACCCAAAACTAAATAAACCTCAATATACTTATCACGGGAAATCTGGTTAACTAAAAAGTCAATCCACCTCAAGGAAAAATGGAACCTTAAGCCCATAAAGCGGGGTTCGTGCCGTAAGCGCCATCTTTTCCTGAGCGAACAATTGCATGTAGTCATCTTAATAATTTTGGGGCCATTCAACTTCAGATCTGCACTTTAGCAAATACAATTACGTGCTTTCGAGTGTTCATCAGCAAAAGTAACTAAGTACTTAAAACCCTATTTTGGTAGGATAGGATTAGGATACCAAATATTTGAATTAACTAACTTAAATATGACACTACTATGGCTTGGTATGAAGGATGAAAAAAGACTCCCGATGTTGTTTAATTAGCTCACAGACTTGACATTCAAATTTTAATAGAGAGGAGGAATTAATAACAAAGTGATAAGGTCATCAGGACATAGAAAGTTTATCAGAGGCATGATCGTCGATCTACAACCATGATTGCACTGCTCTACTTTTGATTTTCATATTTATTATTGATGTATTAGTTTTGTTTATGAAGTTTTATTATGCTTTTCCACTTTTGCCCTTAAGGGTTTAGACATGTGTAAGCCCTAGGGGCATATTAGTACTTTGTATTTTATAATTCTATGGGCTATTTAAAGCCTCCCCCTCCTTCTTTGAGGGTTAATGAATGATAATTAAAAAAATTCCTGCAACTCTTTGTTTTGAGAGCTTGAGAGCTTTGGAGAGAGCCCTTAGAGAGGGAATCGGATCACCCACCAACCTTAGAAGTGTCCGAGTTCGTGGCTTTCATTTTCTTTCTTCCTTTTCGTTTTGTTTTCTCCCTATCTCTTCCTCCTAGCTGCCGATCCTCCCTAGCAAATCCCCCCTGCCGCCGGCCACCCCATCAAATCAATCCACCTCCCCTTCACACCCTACCAGCGTTCCCTCCCCCACCACCAAACCCACAAACCCAAACCCTAATCCTAGCCTAGCCACCGGCCACCCCATCTCCCTCTTGCCCCCAAAATTCAAATCTTCCCATTACTTCTTTCCTTTTCCCTACAAATCATTTTGGAAAATCTTTCTATTCAATCAACCAATCAAATTTTGAAATTCGAATTATTTCCTAAAATAAAGTTCTATTTTAGGAAACTTTCCCAATCAAATCCAAATCAAATTTGAATTGGATTGGAATTAATTTCCTTTCCCTAATTTGGAGTTCCCAAAGAGGCAAACACTAAAGACCTTTCCCTTATCCCCTCCCCTCCTCTTGAAGCCGTCGGCCCCATGCCTTCTCCCCCATTTATTTTCTATCCAAACCTGGACTCCATTCAAAGGAAGTAGTTCCCTAATTCCCTCTCTTCCCCTCTCCCCTTTCTCCACCCGCCACCCACATCAAACTTGCCTCCAAAACCTGGTCTACTGCTATCCAGAAATTCTGCAAGGGCTGTCAGATTCCAGCCGTCCACCTTGCTGTCCAACTGCTTGGAGTAGTCTCCATACGCTGCCCGAGGTTTTCTGGACATAGAAGGGTGTTGTCCAAAGGTTTCTACAGCCACAAACTGCTATCCAAGCTTGTGGGAAGGTTTAATCTTGGCAAGGGTGAACTCTTTCCTTCTCTCATACCTTCCTCGTTGACCCTTGTGGTTTTGATTGATTCATGTAAAATCTTGCAATGCTCTGCTAAAGCTTAGTGTTTAGTAGAATTGTATGCGGGATCTTTCATAGCATTGCTCTTATTGTTAAATTAGGGATTTCCTATTGAAACTTATCTTGTATGTAACGTTAAGAGTAATTTGTTGTTTTGTGGCTTTTACTTTTTGCAAGTAGCTTGGCCTAAGCTAGTGTTTACCGCTCTTTGTGTTTTAATTCATTATTTGAATCACCATCAAGATTTAATTAATTTTCTTTTAATTATTATGCGTGCAAAATCCTTATATAGATCATAATTTCATATATGTCCTCCATCACAAAGTCATGAAATCTATATCATGGAGGATGGCCTAAATGATGATGACACTGATACAAAATAGCGGTGGAAAATAGGCATGAAGAAAAATCATTCATTGGGTTGAAAAATCCATTACCTTTTTAACACATCCATTAATCTTCTTCCTTATACTGAGATTATGAAAAATAAAATGAGAGGAATAAAATATTTTGTTTTAATTGTGTGGTTTGGTTTAAAAGTGAATGCATTACAAATTGGAAGTAATTTGAGAATACATATAGAACATTAGCCCTTATAGAGAGAGACATGATCTTTCCTAAGCATAGGAGAGGAAGAACCAACAACAACAATGATATGTGGTACAAAAGATATATCAAAATAAGATAACAACGGTTGATTGCTTGACATAGTTGAAAAAATAATTAGAATTTAAATTCCAAGACGTACTAGAAGAAGCTAATGTAGAAACAAAGAAGAAAATAGCCTGACAGGTAGACATAGATGCCTAGGACTGTTGAACAAATTGATCTTAATTCTTCTGAGAAAGAAATATGAATTTTCCCCTGGGGCGCTGCGACATTGAGGTTGGCGGTGCTTTGGCACCAAGCTCTTTGGAAATTTTAAAAATAATTCAGCACGACGGCACTGTGGGATCCCAGGAGCCACGTGGCGAGGCACCAGAACAAGTTGGAATTTTGAAAAATAATTCAGCACAATAGCTCGTGGGATCCCAGAAGGAGCGACATGGCAAGGCACAACAGGGTGCGGTGGCGCTAGGCCAAATTTTAATATTTAAAATATCTAAATCCACTATTTATTTCATTTTCCTTCTAAGGTTGTTGACTAGTGATAGAAAGAGAGAGAGATTTCTAGTGAGAGAAAGCCGGATTTGGGATGCTTAGGATCATTTTTAGCCGACGGCGCAGTTCTTAAAGTTGCTCGAATCAAAGTCAGTGACATTTTTCCTACCTTGGTTTTAAAAAATACGATAAATTTGGGAATTTTCTGATTTAATTTATATTTTCATAGTAAAAAAACAATGCTAACTTTATACCTGCAAACTTTCACCGCATAACTTTCTGTATGCTATATATAAAATGATTATGGACATTTGAGTATTTTTTTCTAGAAATTTTAAATGGGAGATTTTAGAAATTTTGCTATTTTAATTAATTAGAAAATAATGCTGACTCTGAAAAATAATGTTGTAGCATAATTAAAGCTTCAAGATAATACTCTAAATAATCTCTGATAAGTTGGTTATATTTTGAAATAGTGCATTTCTACTCAATAGCATATTTAGCTGCCATCTTTATAGCATTTTGTAAAATTTTGAAACGAGTTCATTTATATTTTAATTGCTGCAATGCAATGAATCATGTGTTTGCTTAATCGAATATTGTGATTCAAAGGAGTTTTTGGGTGGATGAAGTTTAGTTCCGGTGCTAAATACACATTTTGGTGCTTACAGGCATGTTCTTGTGCTATATATGTACATTTTGTTCTCATAATTCTCTGAATTATGTTTGATGAGAGTTATAAGTGTCAGAATTTTATGAATTGTCTGTTGGGAGTTATAAGAGATAAAATCCCATGAATTCTGTTTGTTGGGAGGCATAAGGTTCAGAATTCTCATAATTCTGTCTGAGATGAAGTGTTTGTTTCTTTATTTTTTCAGTACTGTTATTTAAATTGCTGATAACTGCAACTACTATTCTACTCACCACAGTGATTTATTTTATTGCTTTTATCACTCATTTAAATGGTTAAGAATGAATTCATTTGAAACTTTAGATCGATAAATGTGATCTGCTGGTGCTCACAATTATTTAGCCTTTTGTTTTCAAGGTTTGAGAGGGAGAAAGTATTAGTTGAATAGCAGTGTTAGGATCTAATCTGAGTTTGTAGATATTTTCCTTTTTTTTTTAAAAAAAAATTTCGTACAATCATGGCTAGCTTTTATTGCTTTATTCTGTAGCTCAGTCATGTACTATAGTCATATATTCATTTTAATTATAAATGAAATGAGCATTTTGTGGATGAGTTCATTTTCAGCAGATTGGATGTTGTTAGTAGGTTTGCGATATTGTCGTCTTCATATTAAAATTGGATAAAAAATCTGAAAGTTTTCTAAACTTAGATCTTGGGATTTGCCTATTGCAAATCAAGCCTATTGCAAATCAACACGATAGGATCTCTCCAGTTTGTGGGTCTTATTGGGTTGAACACATCTGTGGATCATCATGGTGCACCAAATATGATTTGCTTTTTAGGATGAGTTTGTCTACAAGTAACGGAAGTATAGTAATCATATCCTATTGATAAACGCTATTAATCAAGTTGTTGTGACCATTCAAAGCAAGTGTATAAAAAAGTCAAGACAGGGCAACGTTGTCACTTATAATTTATTTGTTTGTTGATTTTCTACTTTTATTGGACACCAGAGGAAGACATGTGATCCTTCAGTACTGGGATATATTTTTTGATAAACTGTGTCACTCTTTCTTGATTTTACTTTTTCACAACTTGATTATATTTGGCAATTTCTCGCTGGTGTTCTTAGGTCTGCCAAGACCCAAGATGGGGTAGATGCTATGAGAGCTACAGTGAGGATACTAAAATTGTGCGGGACATGACTACAATTGTTTCAGGCTTGCAGGGTTCACCACCAAAAGACCACCTTCCAGGCTATCCCTTTATTGTAGGAAGGTATGGACATGAATATCTCAACTAGTAATATCATTTGATGGTTTTTCGGCATTTGACCTTATTTTTCGGTTCTACCCCATTGAATTATATCTTGTCCACTTTAGTCACCATACCACTCATTCGTACTTGTCATGTAATCATTTTCTTTTTACAAATTTGGCGAAGGAATCTTCATATTGTTATCATTGTGATTATGCTTTCTTATTCTGTTAACTTTTCTAGTATTGTACGCAGTTCATTTGTTAATTAATTAATATTGGTATTTGTCTGCAGCAAGAATGTGATTGCTTGTGCAAAACATTTTGTTGGCGACGGAGGCACTCACAGAGGGATAAATGAAGGCAATACCAACTGTTCATTCGAGGAACTAGAAAAGATTCATATTATGCCGTATCGTGACTGCCTTGATCAGGGGGTTTGTACCATAATGGCATCCTATTCAAGCTGGAATGACAGGGCGCTACACTCTGATCGATACCTCCTAACAGATATACTAAAGGGAAAACTTGGTTTTAAGGTATTTAGGTTTCTTTATTGATCATAATCTGCTGCGTAGTTTCAAGCCTTCTTACTATCTTTGCCATGGCATGTTTTCTGAAATGGAGGCTTGCTATATATTACAACATTTTTCATTTAGCGTGCATGCAGCGTATTAAAGATTTTTATCAGACAAATAATCAGGCTCTATGATGTTGTGGAATGTATTTCAGGGTTTTCTGATATCAGATTGGGAGGGCATCGACAGGCTGACATGGCCACATTGGTCAAATTACCGTTACTGCATTTCAGCGTCAGTCAACGCTGGAATTGACATGGTAATAAACGTTTCCCAAATATCATTTCTTTCATAATATAACTCATCTGAGATCATGTTACTTAGAAAGTGAGAAACTTTACAGATTATGGTGCCTCACAGATATGAAAGGTTTCTAGAAGATATAGTTTATTTGGTCGAGTCAGGGGAGATACCCATGTCTAGGATTGATGATGCTGTGGAGAGGATTCTGAGGGTGAAATTTGTCGCTGGGCTGTTTGAACAGCCTTTCTCAGACCGCTCATTGACAAGTATAGTTCGTTGCAAGGTATGATTGGTGAATTACAATGATAACAAATTATTATGAAGCATAGTAGTAGTGGAGTTCCAGTTTTTAATATCCCACTGATTGATTTTGAGCCAAAACTAAACCTGTATATTGCTTTTTTAGCTTAGGAAAGAGTTACGTTGAGGAACCTCTGTTTAAAAGTAAGAAAATTGTTTTTATACCCTTCTTTGGCACCCTATAAATTTTTAGATGAGAAAGATAAGCAATCGGTTGTAGATGCAGGAAAAGATGGAAAAGATGGGCTTGGGTTCCAAAACTTTTGCTTTCTGGTCCCCTTGCCTCTCCACGGTGATTCAGGGAGAGTTTTAATGAATTAAATTCTAGGAGATGTTTTCAGAAAACAGATTGGTAAGAGATAAGACATTACCCAAATATTTCATTTTCATTTGCATGAACTTTAAGATCCGAGTTTAGGTTTCCTATAGGTGCAAGTCCTTATGGTTAATTACCCCTCCCGATGATGAGAAAATACTTTCGATTAAGACTAGTTGTTGGATACTCATAATATAGTAGCAATAGATTTAGATGTTTGAATTAGAAATTTATCACTGTGCACTTAAACCGGATGATAGGGGAAATAATGATGAACGAGATCAAGATCTCATGGTTTCATCGTCCTGAGTTGTCATGATCTCTAGTCGACTCAAACATGACCTAAGGATCCTTGTCAGCAGCCATGAGTTGTTTCATCTAAAGGTACCTTGTAGATCTGGTGTGAATGTTTGTTTAAGAGATAAACTCAAGTCAACTTTAGCTAACAAAGGATGTTATGTCCTATCAAGTTTACTGTATGATTCAGTACTTAATTTTACTAACCATTGTGGAATATGCGGGCTCAGACTGTAAATGTAATATAATGCAGTTATTGGGCCAAACCACCAATCAGAGGGCTTCGGTCATAATCATTTATCATGTGGAGTTATTGGGCTAAACAACTAGTTATGTAGAGCTATTTGGCCAAAGCACTGATTAGAGGTCTCCGATCATAACCGTTTACTACGTGGAGTTGTATGGCCAAATCACTAGTTTTATAGAGTTGTTGGGTCAAATCACCAGTTAGAGGATACATGCCACAATGTTATTGATAGGAGATTGTTTGAAAATAAATCTTAGTGATATTCTCGATTGAACACTCGCTTTTTATGAGTTGAAGTTATTTTTGAATTCATCACCCTTAATAAAAAGGTTGCGAATGGTGGATATGTATCACCTTAAGATTTAGATGATTAATTTCATTTTAAACATTTGAATTTTGATAGATTTTGAATTTTAAAATTTTTATAGATTTTTGAAAATTGACCCCCCTCTTATTAAGATTCATCATCAACACGGTCATTATCTAGGTGACAAGTGTCATAACCCAACCCGATAAGACTCACAGATGGATCAAATCCTATCGTGTTAGCTTGCAACAGGCTAACCCAAGATCAAAGTTAAACTTTTTAGATTTTTTTCTTTCCATTTTAACTTAAAACAAACAATAGATTATGCTAATATACAAAAATGACTCAACCTTAAAATTCCTTTTAATTTCTCTTCAAAATGTATTTACAACAATTTCAGTATAATGCATGACTACAAACTGAGCTATAGAATAGAACAATTTAACTAACTAGTTATGATTGTATGAAAATTTGAAAGAGAAATACCTATACAAACTCAGACATATCTGATTCCGACTCTGCTACTCAACTGACTCATTCACTTTCTCATACCCTAAAACAAAATGCATTTAAAACTATAAGCCAACACAGTTCAGCAGGCCATACTTGCTTATTTAAATTTTCAAATAATCATTTATTAAACAGTCATATGAGTTTCAAAATAGTTCATAATAATTAATGTATTGAACAAAACACTGCTTGTAGTTATCAAAATGTAAATAGCAATGTAGGAATGTAAATAAACAAGCACTTCATATATCAGAAAATAGACCTTTATGACACCCAATGCCCTAGCATTAGAACATAATGTGCATGCAACACCAGAATGTGTTTTTGACACCAGAATAAAACGTGCATATAATGCCAGAACATAAATTTCTCCAACTACACCAGATCTTCTCAGAGTCACACATTTCAATCAAATAAACATATAATTCATTGCAAAATGAAATGTAAATAAACTCATTTTAGGATTTAACAAAATATCTTAATGGTAGACAACGAAATATGCTACTGAGCAGAAATACACTGTTTTAGAATATAACCAAATTATTATAGATTGTTTAGAATATTATCTTAAAGTTTTAATTATACTATACTATTATTTTTCATATTCACAAACATGTACACGAACCCTCGGGACCCGCTTCAAAATATATGTCAACCTTCATATGCATACAAAATATTCTCAGACACCTATAGATGGGTTCAAATGCAAAATTTTAGTAGATTACCTCAGATTAGACTGGGTCAGAACAGGTGGAACAATGCATGAATCTATAGGCGTTACAATTCTCCCCTTAAAAAAATATCATCCTCAACATTTTTAGAACTCAAAGAGATTAAGATGTAATTGACTCATCTCAGATTCTTTCTCCTAAGTAGCTTCTCTTTCTATTCTGCTCTTCCACTGAATCATAACCATTGGAATATGTATATTCTTTAATCTTCTGACGTTGTATGCTAGAATTTTTTTGGTTCCTCTCTATAGCTCATATTTGGACATACCTCAACTTCTAAAGCTATTCGATTTCAAGAATTAGACACTCATTTCCTCAGAAGCGATATGTGGAGCATAATGTGAATGTCAGACATATGTTTTGACAACTGCAATCTATAACTAGATTTTTCAATCCTTTCAGTTACTTCAAATGATCTAACATAGTTTGAACTCAACTTTCTTTCTTTCCCAAACCTGCCGATGCCTTTCATTGACCTAATTTTCATGTATATGAAGTCTTCCATTTGAAACTCTACTGCTCAGTGTTTGACATCATAATATTATTTCTGTTTGTCCTGCACTACTTTTAGTCTATCTCTGATTAAAAAAACTTTCCAGTAGTTTTGTCAACCAAAATTGATGCTATCAACTTCTTTTCACCTACCACAAACCAGATGACATCATGCTTTTACCTTGACTTGGAAAATCTTATAGCAAAATTCACTGTTATATCTTCCTATTTTCATTCTGGAATGGACAACAATTGCAGAAAATCTCCCGGTCCCTAATGTTCTACTTTCACTAACTGACATGCTTCGTATTTTGAAATAAAGTATATCACATCCTTCTTTAGTTCAAGCCACTAGAATAAACCTTTTGAGATCACTGTATATTTTTCTGCTTTGATGAATAGTGTAGTCCGAATAATGAGCTTCATGTACAATAATTGATTTTAAATCTTCTGAACTCAGAACTTACAATCTATTCTTGCAGAAAATAATGCAAGATACTTGCAGTTCATATTTCTTATCAGATTTGTTCTGACCAATTAACTTCATATACTTTGTATATGACTTTTGAGCTTCCTAAATCCTCTCTTGAAACGATAGTTAATTAATCATCTAAGTCAGAATACTAGAGTCCCAATCAATAGAAGGAATCAATTTTAACTGTAGTTTCTCCATATCTAGAATTAGATATTCATCAAAAGTAAATAAGATACTCGATATCCCATAAGACTTTCTAATCAGAGCATCTGCCATCACATTCGTCTTCCTAGATTGATACTGAATAATCAAATTATAATCTCTAATCAACTCAAGCCATATTCTTTGCCTCAGATTCAAATCATTCTGAGTTACTATATGCTTTAGACTTTCATTATATGTGAAAATCTCACACTTGATTTCATATAGATAGTGCCTCCATATTTTCACACTTTAGTAGAAATATTTTTACTTTGCAGCATGAAAATTTGATTTTTGAGAGTTGATACGTCATGCAAAATTAGCTTGATCAGGCACGAATCTCGAGGCAAAAGCTAGTTGGAAACTTCAAAAATTAATTCCGAGAGCACCCGAACTCCGATTTCAGCAAGCTTATAGTCGAACTGAGCGTCTCGGAAATACGAACCCAACGACACCAAATTCAACCCAATCCGAGCCCAAATGGGTCCAAATCAAGGACCCGAAGCGCTGTTGGAAGGTTCAAACCGCAATTTGAGTTACCAAACGGTCTCCGATTTTAATGAGCTTATACTCGAATCGAACGGCTCGACGAGACGAGTCCAACGAGCCCAAGATCACAGAATTCCGACATCACTAAGGCCTTCAAATGTCCAACGAATGGTGCACGATCGTACGATTCAATATCGGCCGTCCATTCGACCACTCCTTATTCGCCCCTGATCTAACGCCTATTTACGGGTCATGCCACTCCAGAAAATCTATAAATAGAGCCCTCATTTCTCATGAGAGGGGGATCCAAGCAAGAGAAGCAAGAAGAGGAGGAAGAGAAGGAGGAAGCTCCTCCTCGACGGCCGCCGGACCACCGCCGAACCACCGCAGAAGTCCCGCCGGACCCTCGCCGGACCACCACAGGAGACTCCTTGTCTCCTACCGCCTACGGTCCTTCTGACCTCTGTCGCCTACTACGGTCCGTCCGACCTCCATCAACAGACAACGGTCTTTCTGACCCTGGTCTCTTGCCGACTACGGTCCTTTCGACCTCCGTCGCCTACTACGGTCCGTTCGACCTCCATCAACAGACAACGGTCTTTCTGACCCCGGTCTCCTGTCGACTACGGTCCTTCCGACTGAACAAACATGTATATGTAACTCCTAACATGTAATGCAATCTATATGATGTATAGTTCCTACATCAATACAAGGCCTTCTCCAAAGGAAGGGCCTCATTTGTAATCGACTGCAAATACTAGTTGATTCATTCAAATTGGGCCAGGCCCCGTGGTTTTTCCCCCTTTTCAGGGGTTTTCCACGTAAAAACTCTGGTGTCTCTTATGAATGCTACACCCTCTCACTTATCTGCTTGTGTGCTGGATCTTCGTACAATGCTAAGACGTTAAACTAAATATT